TTTTGAAATGCATTTTTTGTCCGAATGTATTTTTTATTATGATTTTCACTGGGTACATTTATTTAATTTGCTACGCTGTTTTTCTTTCATGTAAACAGTGAAATTAATAACTAAAGGCCTACTAAAGAAAGATCTGTGCTTGCGACATAGAACGAACCTGTCTCCGCTTTTCCCTCAGCCAAAAAAGCTTCTATAACAAAATCGTGTCTTTTATCAATTTACATTCCTCAATAAAAGGGAATTCCGCCTAGCTCTGTCAATGCGATCAAACTTTTCGGCTAAAGAAGCCGTTTCTCTCATGGAATAAAGTATGTACAGGTTCGATTTCTGTCGGAGGCACAGTCTTTCTTTTGTTATCCTACCCTAACTGTAACGGCAATTCACCCGGGGTGGGTTTAGCCGGCTCCAATATCGGAGTTCCATGGAAATTTGGAATTCACAAGCGGTCCCCAAACCCGCATGTATCGCACATGTGATTTGATTATAGTGGTGAAGGTTTCGTGCAGGACCATCCACACTTTTTTGAAGGGCCAAATACAGAGACCTGGTGCACTACGTGCCACAAGGTCCCAAAACGACCCTTCGCAGGTTTTGAATTCAGAGTTTTCCTTCTCCTAGACCAGTTGTCATACAAGGATATATAACCCAGTCTGTCCTGCTATTTGCCGGAGGGAGAAGAAAAGGATTCACACCTTTCCCAAGGATATTAGCACGTAAGTGAATGTAATGGATTCGACTGGAATTCGAACTCGGCTCTCCGATTCCTCCATCCAAGCCGCTATCCATTACTCCACCGTGCCTCCTTCACTCGACCGTGCCTCCAACTGAAATATGTGAACTCACTAAAAATGGGATGCGTGAATAAGGGGACACAGGTTCGATTCCTATCAAAGGCACAACTTTTCTTTAATAGCAACAAAACAGGGATAACAACTGAAATAAATGTCAGTCAGATATGTGCATTGGCATTTATTTTTGCGATAGACCAGTTGCCATCCAAGGCTACAGAACCCGCTCTGTCCTGCTATTTACCCAGAGCCTAGGAGAAGAAGATGAAGATTCATAACATTCCCAGGGGTATTAGCCCATAAGTGAATGTAATGGATTCGACTGGAACTCGAACTCGGCTCTCTGATTCATCAATCCGCTATCCATTATTCCACCGTGTGTGTGTGTGCGTGAGTGAGTGAGTGAGAGAGAGAGTGTGTGTGTGAGCGCGCACGCACATGTGTGTCTATATATGTGTGCGTACATGTGTGTGCCCTCTTGTGTGGAGGAAAGAGAGAGAGGGAGAGAGAGAGAGAGAGAGGGAGAGAGAGAGCGTGTGCATGTGTGTGAGCGTGTGAGCGCGCACGCGTGTGTCTATATATGTGTGCGTGCATGTGTGTGCCCTCTTGTGTGGAGGAGAGAGAGGGAGAGAGAGAGAGAGGGAGAGAGAGAGCGTGTGTGTGTGTGTGAGCGTGTGAGCGCGCACGCGTGTGTCTATATGTGTGCGTGCATGTAAAACCCGCTTGTGTAGAGGCAAGAGAGAGAGGGTGGGAGAGAGCGCGCACGCGTGTGTCTATATATGTGTGCGTGCATGTGTGTACCCGCTTGTGTAGAGGCAGAGAGAGGGTGGGAGAGCGCGCACGCGTGTGTCTATATGTGTGTGTATGCATGTGTGTGCGTGCATGGTGTGTACCACGCGTGTGTCTATATATGTGTGCGTAGAGCTTGTGCAAGGAGAGAGAGGGGGGGAGAGCGCGCGCGTGTCTATATATGTGTGCGTGCATGTGTACCCGCTTGTGTAGAGGCAGAGAGAGAGGGTGGGAGAGAGCGCGCGCGTGTGTCTATATATGTGTGCGTGCATGTGTGTACCCGTGTGTGCCTCATATGTGTAGACCCGCTTGTAGCAAGAGAGAGGGTGGGAGAGAGCGCGCACGCGTGTGTCTATATATGTGTGCGTGCATGTGTGTACCCGCTTGTGTAGAGGAAAGAGAGAGAGGGTGGGAGAGAGCGCGCACGCGTGTGTGTGTGTGTGTGCGTGTGTGTGTGGGAGCGCGTGTGTGTCTATATATGTGTGCGTGCGTGTGTGTGCCCGCTTGTGTGGGTGGGGAGAAGACGCACGTGTGTGTGTGTGTGTGTGTGTGTGTGCGTGTGTGTGTGTGTGCGTGCGTGTGTGTGTGTGTGTGTGTGAGAGGGAGAGAGACGCGTACGTGTGTGTGTGTGTGTGCGCGTGTGTGTGTGTGTGTGTGTGTGTGTGGAGCGGAAATGTGTGTGTGTCTATGTGTGCGTGTGTGTGTGTGCCCGGTTGTGTGGAGGAAATAGAGAGAGGGTGAGTGAGAGAGAGAGAGAGAGAATGTGTGTGTGAGAGCGTGCACGCACGTGTGTGACTGTGTGCGTGCGTGTGTGTGCCCTCTTGTGTGGAGGAAAGAGAGAGAGGGAGGGAGAGCGAGAGAGAGCGTGTGTGTGTGTGTGTATGTGTGAGCGCGTGTGTGAGCGCGTGTGTGTCAATTCTATGTGTGCGTGCATGTGTGTGTCCGTTTGTGTGGAGGAAAGAGAGAGCGGGTGAGGGATAGAGAGAGAGAGAATATAATGATTTTGTTTGATAGTCTGAACGAGATAACCGCCTAACTTGAAAGACAATGGCTTCAAGGCGTATGAAAGTGAATTAATACTTCGCGGACGGAATAATTGAGAACAATTAATTGCAAATAATGTTAACTGCGTCATTGCAAGCAGGTCTTTATAAAGGTGTCTGATTATTGAAGTATCAATAAAGACGCGTTTCCCATTAAATCTGTATTCGTCAGGCCATGTAATAATGCTCACCAACGATCTGTCACTCTTTACTTGCATAAAACTGAGTACTGTCTTTTGAAATGACTATGCAATCGTTAAATGACTGATTTGAAATAACTGAAAACTGCGTCGACAGTTTAAGAACAGATCTACAACGGCCATGCCTGAAGTGTCCAGACTTTTTTTTAGTCGAGGCAGTTATAACCATCTTAGATCATATATATATATATATATATATATATATATATATATATATATATATATATATATATATTCATGAATTATTCATACAAAAAAACAAATACAAAGGTTAATGATTTAAAATATGAGAAATCCCTCGTCGCGAACAATTCAAATAATATACAAAAAACCCCGGACCTGTTTATGAATGAAAAGATCCTTGTTTTATAAATTTCTGTTGCATAAGTTCTTATTATTTTTATAAGCTTTCGACTGCTCCTACAGACATCCTCAGGTATGGAATAGATTTTGTTCTTGCTTTTACTCTCAGTAATAAGAGGACAACGAAAATATATGTATTGTTGTAATCCGAAAAATGCTATTAGAAATGAGTTATTGTTTTTGGAGCGAGCAGTCGCAACGCTAAGTTTGAATTTAAATTTTACAATTGTGCGTTCTTGTACAAATATGGTGATAAGTGAATTCTTTTTTACTGGTAAATTTTCTGTCAAAGTGGCATGAACTATATTGTTCATTAATTACAGTAATGTCGCACTTATTATCCAAAAGTTGCACTTGGATCAGTTATTTTAATTTCAATAAAGGTGCAATTAATTTACAAATTCATGAATTATTCATACAAAAAACAAATACAAAGGTTAATGATTTAAATGGCGAGAAATCCATCGTCGCGAACAATTCAAATAATATACAAAAACCAAATTTACACCAATACATATATTTTCGTTGTCCTTGTTCATTTACATTATTCGGACTATTGTCCTGATCTTTGTCGCCGTATTTATTACAACGTTTCGGCCGTTGTACGCCCGGCCTTCTTCAGATGTCCTCAAGGACACATGGCACAGTGGATAAAGGCTTAAAGTTAGATCCAGTGAAAGGACCCAAACAGTGTGAGTTCAATACTCGGTTAAGGCATTGGAGAACTTTCAGAGGGAAATTAACAGGAGATAACTGATAACTGACATCCATTCAGCATGGCATGTGGAACTAGAACAGTCTACCCCAGTGAGCAAAATAAAGGGTTCATTTCGACATTCCAACCACCGGAAGAAGGCCGGAGCGTACAACGGCTGAAACGTTGTAATAAATACGGCGACAAAGATCAGGACAATAGTCCGAATAATGTAAATAATGTATAACGATTTGAATATGATTATTCCATACACATTTTTTTATTTCCCTAGCTGCTGGGTCCAAGTCCGAGTTTCAAATGTTCTCAGAGGCAGGCTGTTCGATGATAATATTACAGCTGTCTCGCATTTATCGCCGTTACTCAGTACCGGACCTACCGCGATAAGTGAATTTCCGCAAAGTTGAATCTTTTATTTATAAATCGAATATTTTCGTAGTTAGAACATAGAAATCCTCTTTACGTCCTTCTAAATACGGTTTCTGACATTATAAGAGCTCTTTAGACATGAAATAACATCCTTGTAGTCAACTTTACACTTATATAACCCAACATATTAAACAAAATAAGAGAAAATAAGACATATTAGACGTTACAAATATTATTATTGTACAAGTGATCCACAGCACATGCGCAACAATACCCTATCGTTCTGATTGCCTTGGTTTCACCACACCCGATTTTTGAATAATAGAGACTTGGAAAAATTTTCTTTGCCCACACACAAGGTTTGCTCGATCGGATGCATATGGCGTTGAAGTATTTACGGGGGGGGGGCGACTACATAGGCCTACAGTAATTTTAATACAAGTTGTATAATTGACTCAGACAACTGCGCACGCGCTGTATTATTTTCACTGTCTCGATCAACGGAAGAATCGGCTGTGTGTCTGCTTTTGAGATCTGAGCAAGGACTGTTTTATCCGACACTGTAGTAGACCGTAGTCAACCGCAAAGCAGCGAGGAACAGCGACATAATTTTTTTTAATGAAAGATCTTTAAAAACCGCGGTAGAGTGAAACCGCGAAAATCGAAGCGCGAAGTGGCGAGGGACGACTGTATACAGTGAAAAATTCAGATCTAAATTTAGCAACTAATTGAAGTTATGGGACGGAATCAATGGGGAAAGACCAAAGAGTACGTGCCCGAAAAGATAGTAGTCGAAGAAAGAAACTTCTTTTTCTCCTATGTGCGTTAACAGTTCGGGACGTCCGCGGTAATACCTCTCCATAATTTTCTCTCCCCCTGTAACTTCCAGCAAATTTTGTCTTCTCGCCATCTCTCTTAACCGCTGTTCTGACTAATATTTGCACAAACACATTAGACAAGTCGCGTTATTCTGTCTCTCTTGTCTTCAATATATCCGATGTGTATCACATTTTCCAAACCGTCTTTCCTCATTATATGCTCAGGAAATTTCAACTCTCTCTTCCTGATAATAAGTATGAATGTACTTTGTGTTTCTTTAAAATTTCGTCATTGGTCACATGTTCAGTTCATCGTATTCTAAGCATATTTCTGTAGAACCACATTTTTTTGCTTCAAGCCTTTTCACCATATGATATGTTCACTGCCATATAGGACTATCGATATTTCATGACAGTTAAAGATTATTTACATTATTCGGACTGTTGTGCTCATCTTTGTCGCCATATTTATCTACTGTGCCATGTGTCCTTGAGGACACATGGCACAGTGGATAAAGGCTTCAGTTAGATCCAGTGACAGGACCCAAAGATTATGAGTTCAATACCTTGTTAAGGCAGTGGACAACTTTCAGAGGAAAATTAACGGGAGATAACTGATAACTGACACCCATTAAACATGGCACGTGGAACTAGAACAGTGTACCCCAGTGAGTGAAATAAAGGGTTCAGTTGGACATTCCAACTACCTGAAGAAGGCCGGAGCATACAACGGCCGAAACGTTGTAATAAATATGGCGACAAAGATCAGAGCAATAGTCCGAATAATGTAAATAATGTACATAATACCTCATCTCAGAAATATAGACAGATACAGTTAAAGATTGTTTTCCTTTTTTTTTTTTTTTTTTTTTTTTTTTTTGCTAACGATATTTTCTTGTTTAATAATTTGCTTAGCTTTTGGAAGGCATATTCGTCCGAATAATATCTCTTCGAAAACTTGACAATTTGCTCGAGAAAAACAGTTTGCAACAAAGTGAGGATTTAATTTCAGACCCTTTGTGCACCAGACATTTGCTCTCGCATTTCTGAATGTTATCTGTCTATGATTTTTTTCCTCGAAAAGGAATCAATATTTCTTACTTTATTTTCACAAACTCCAAGAAGCATCTGCGATTATGATATACCAGACCAGATTTGTAAGACTTTGTGAATTCTTCTCTTTTCACCTAGAGGAACCTAAAACTAAGTGTTGATAACTATACGATCGTTTTTACTGCGACCCATTGAACCTATTATTCGCCGCGTTTGTTTGGGGTCCCTAGTCCGAACTTAACAACTATTTTGACTTCTCTTTTTGTATCAACTTGGCATTTATGTCTCCCATGACGATGGTAAATTCTTGTGATTTACACAGAGTCTTGCCGATGTTTTGTGAGCTGTAAAAGTTATCAGATTCTTCCTCCTTACACTATGCTCCCAGTAGGTATGCAACAATAAATGTTGTGTCAAAAGCTTTCTTTCAGTTTAAATAAAATTATAACCAAAAACCGACAGTATCCCAGAATTACATTACTTATTTAGTATTAAGCCTACACCTTTCATTTTTACCTCTGCATTCATAACGAAATGTCTGTTTCTGCCTAATTGTAACGTTTCCAAATTGTAGTTCACACATTGGGATATTCCGAAGTTCAGACAACCATGCATCCTGTCTTCTTACTGTTAAGTGTGTGTGTGTGTGTGTGTGTGTGTGTGTGTGTGTGTGTGTGTGTGTGTGTGTGTGTGTGTGTGTTCGTGTTCCTTTGATACCTTTTTCTGGGGCTTCTTGTAGTTACCTGAGTCTTTCATCAATGCAGTGTCATTTTCGGATAATGTTGCTAAAATTGCGTCCATAGTAAATTCTGTCCGCCATTTTGTAATAAATCCTTGTATCATTTCTACTGTAATATATCCGGGTAACAAACGCATCTTTGCGTCATACATTTCTTCTTCCTCTTCTTCTTTTTCTTATTCTTTCTTCTTTTTCTTCTTTTTTCTCCTTTTTTCCTTTTTCTTCTTTTTCTTAATTTTCTTCTTTTTCTTCTCTTTGTTTTCATTTATTCTTTTTCTCCTTTTTTTTTCTTCATTTTCTTCTACTTTTTCTTCAATTTTTTTCTTCTTCTTTATGCCGTGACTCTTCAGGATGTTGGCGATCATTACTCTCCTCGATTTCCAGTCTTTTGTTAGTAAATTTTATCATTTCGTTATCTACTCCAAACATTCACAAAAGCTCGCTAGATAATTATGTGGACTTTTCCTAAGTCCCTCTTTACCTTGACTCTGTCCTGTGAGTATCAATTTTTCCGAGATATTTTTCCTTATTATATATAACGGAAATTTCATTTTTCCCTTCTTGGAATTAAATATAAAAGTGACCTTTTTGTTTGCATTTTCTATAAAACTTCCTCGTTGCTCACATGTTCGGTCCATGGTATTCTCAGAAACATACATCAACATTTCTTTTGTTTCAAATCACTTCTTCATCTGTGCGCAGAATGATATAGGTTTTTTGGTTTCAGTCTTTGCTTCTTTATTTATTTAAATATTTTTTTGCATCTAACTATTCATCATCACATTCCTCAAAGGCTTTCAAACAATTTAAGCACTTTGATTTTTTTTCTCCTTCTTTTATTGATTCTCACTTCAACAGACACTATCAAGTCAAGAATTTTTTCACGCTTCGTACTTTTTCGTAATTTTAAATTTCCAAGTTTTTGGCTTCGTTTTTTTTTTTTTGTTTTTTTTAACTGAGAGTCTTATCAACCAAAACAACTTTATTTTTTATATACAATATGGAAATGGCTTATTCGAAAATGAATATTGGCAAGTTTTCCCAGAATTACAATATTGTAAAATGAACAAAGAATGCCAGAAGCGTACTTTTATTTGAAATGATTGAACAGTATTAATATCATTAAGTGCTTTATGAAACCAACAGCTATATCCTTAGGCATGGCAGTATGATCTATCTATCCAGCTAGTCAGTCATTCATTCATTCATATCTATCTATCTATCTATCTATCTATCTATCTATCTCATTTTGTTAATATCTATCTATTTCGGTGTGTGTTCATATCTATCTATCTATCTATCTATCTATCTATCTATCTATCTATCTATCTCATTCAGTTAATATCTATTTCGGTGTGTTCATATCTCTATCTATCTATCTATCTATCTATCTATCTAGCTAGCTAGCTAGCTCATTCAGTTAATATCTACCTATTTCGGTGTGTTCATATCTATCTATCTATCTATCTATCTATCTATCTATCTATCTATCGAATTCAGTTAATATCTATCTATTTCGGCGTGTTCATATCTATCTATCTTTCTATCTACCTCATTCTATTAATATCTATCTATTTCAGTGTGTTCATATCTATCTATCTATCTATCTATCTATCTATCTATCTATCTATCTCATTCTATTAATATCTATCTATTTCGGTGTGTTCATACCTATCTATCTATCTATCTATCTATCTATCTATCTATCTATCTATCTCAGTTAATATCTTTTTCGGTGTGTTTATATCTATCTATCTATCTATCTATCTATCTATCTATCTATCTATCTATCTATGTATTTTCCTTCTTGCTATGTTTCTGTCTCTCTATCCATCTGTCTTATTCAGCATTTAAGTTTACTGAATATTTGACTTTTCAGGAGGAATATCTTTTAAACCAGGTCTGCTATGAAAGAGAGGATTCTTCTTCTTCTTCTTCTTCTTCTTCTTCTTCTTCTTCTTCTTCTTCTTCTATATGATATTTCGCTCCATAACGTCGGAATACCAAGTGTTGTAGGCTTGAATCTGCGTGTAGTGCAATGGATAACTGTTTATAGGATCATGGCAATTTGGAGCTATAACGTGAGAGATTTAGCAGGTGTTTGAGGACCAGTGGTGCCCCTCCATCTAAAGGTACAGTCTGCCGGGCATCAAAGGTGCTACCTCCATCCAGAGTCTCATACGCACACATCTTAACATCTATATTAAAAAGATTTTTTCTAATCCTTACGCAAAAGAAGCAGTCATCCCATTTTCATATATGAATCATTAATATTATTACTATCTTTGTTTTTCTTTCATTTTATTTTTGCTACAACGGTCAGGTCATTTTTACATTCTACAACCGTAAATTCCGTAGCATGTATTGGAAATAAAGCATTAGATAAAGGAACTAATTAATGACACTTAAAAGGATATCGTTAATTGTCTTCTGGTGAAATTCCCAGATATTTTATTAATCTTACGTTAATTTTGTACAAATGTCTATGTAGGTTAACTGGTGTGGTTCGAACTGCATTCTTAACAATTTTTCTATGATTTTCTGATAAAATTCATACTAATTAACCCATAGCATGGGGGAGAAGAGGTGGATTAATTTCCCAAGGATATTTGCGCATAAAGGAATATAACGAACCAAGTGATAATTGGAACTCGTCTCTCCGATTAACAATTAAAACTTTATCCATTACACCACCCGCACATCCAAGCTTACTGCACCTGGTATTCCCAAGCAGTCACCGATCTAGGTACTGACGTGTCTTAACTTCAGTGCTTATACTGGAACCGGTGTTTCCTGAATTCTAATGCTGCTATCTAAAGTTTATTTTTCTTAAAACAAATTTTTAGAGAATTATTGTATAAGTCAAATGACTTACCTGCTAACATGGCTGCCTTCTTGTGTCTTATTGGTATATTTCTTATGTATAATACATAATTGTGGCACATGGTCTAAAAAGGGGAGGGGTTTAGGCTGGTCGTCACTAATTATCTTATACCTAGCTAATCCGATTCACGACCCATTCACGCATTACAATTTCCACATTCCCCATAAGAACTCATCCGTCACCATTCAATCCTCCATACACCACAATACCGCATCCTCTAAGGGGGACCTACAAAACGCGCGCCATGCAATAAAAAATTAGTGATAATAAATTATTATCCATAAAATATTAATAGTGAATAATGAGAGTTGAGGGAGATGAACCCAATAACAAACTAAACATCAACACAAAGTAAACTAAACATAACTGATGTTAGTAGGGCCCGTCCAACCCTCAAAAAGGAGAGGCCGCTGCATTCTGCCTATTGGTCAAAATCAAGAAGTTCTCTCGCTAAGGGAGTAGAAAAAATATACGGATATGGTTAAATAAAAAGCTGACCCAGTCGAGATAAAAGAGGGCCAAAACAAACTGGGCAGGTTGGGAATTTCAACCTGGATCATAATCAAAGATGTGGCCGAGGATAGGCCAAGAACAACACTTACACACATTAACTAGGTACACAAGGCTTGTCTAGCCTAACCAGGTCTGAGAGGGGCTCCAAAGGAAACCGCCCCGATGCGACGTAGGTTGACCTAAAAAAGAAAATCAAGGCTAGCCATGTTCAAATGAACCAAGCTCACCTCAGTCACCCACCTTTCGCTAAAGACTGTCGAATGCAAGCGTTTTCTGTCAGTTCTGATCTTCATCATGAGCTGATGCTCAAAGAATCGGATCAGATCCTGATGAGAAAGACGGTTGCCTCGCAAGACTTCCTTCTGTCGTGTCATCCAAATCACCATTCGGGCCGTGGCCAGCAGCGTCAGAATCACCATTCATTTCATCCAAAAATACGGGGGTGACACATTGTCACACGCGTATGAGCATTCGATGAGCACGAGGTTTCCGGAGTGAGACGAGTCGTCAACTCGCCGACGTGGTCCCATAAGGGGCGCACTCGGGGACAATGGTAGAAGGCGTGGAAAGCCGTTTCTTCTAAACCAAGACCACACCATTCACAGTCTGGTAAATCCGCCAAGCCCCATATGAAGGCCTTGTCATTGAGAGACAAGCCAATCGCCAGGTAAGCAAAAGCTCAGGGTTACTAGCGCCCAAGACCAGAAAGAGTGAAACTCCTCCTCCGACAAGTCGAGAAGCTCACGACCCACAAAATGACGATAGAAGACCTTCCTAGGCTGAGAAAGGTCACTGGACCGAGGAACAGCCAACAAGACCGACTGCCACTCGCGAAGGAAATCCAATTGATCCCGGGGTTTACGATGGCGCTCAACCCTTAAGATGGGGGGAATGATAGTAAGGAAAGGAAACGCGTCCCTAACAATCCCCGCCATAATAGAATCTCCTGTCACTGCGCGGTGTAGGAAAGCCAACCTCGAGGCGAGTTTGTGGTTCACCAAGTGTGGCATTCCCATCCTCCCATGATACGGACGTTGTGTACAGACTCGTCTGTCGACCTGATGCTTGCGTCCCCTCCATAAAATGGAGGATAGAGAGCGCTCTAGCGGTTTCCTATGGTCTTTACAGGGAGGAAGTACGGACAATCGATAAAGGACAATCAGGAAAACGTAAGTGGCACACGCCTCCGCCCTCCCCTTCACGGACAACCTCCGTCGACATCAAGTTTGACCGGCCGCGTCGACCTTTGCTCGTATTTCAGACCAATTTTTCTCCAGCTGGAGGTCGGGTCCAAACCACACTCCAATAACGCGGACAGGACCGTCCGTCCAACCGAAGGGCCCCGGTAGATCGACCCCTTTTAAGCCACCTAACCGCAAGCCGGACGACTTGTCACGGTTAATCTTAGCCCCTGTCACCTATTTGTACCGATCAAGCGCCTTCACTACCGCATCAATTTCACTGCGAGACGACACGAAAGCAGATACCTCATCGACGTAGGCGGAAACCTTGGCTCGAGCCCCTCCAGGAACGGCGATTCCACGTAGGGCCGGACTGCACGCCCTGTCCCTTAGCCAGGGAAGGAGAGGCTGCAACGCCAAAACATAGACTATGGGCGCCAGTGGACAACCCTGACGAACCGAGCTAGACAGCGCAAAAGCGGCCGGCAGCTTTCTGTTCATCTGTACCACAGCACTGGCGGAGTAATACAGGAGGCTAATCCAGCGGCAGAAGTCGGGTTCGAATCCGGTGGCCTGTAGGACAGCCGTAAGGTAGCGATGGTCAACCCTATCAAATGCCTTGGACTATGATCGTGCGGATCAGATGCAGGTTACTCTGAATTGTTCGGCCCCTCACAGAACAAGTCTGCCCAGGACACAACAGAGACTCGGCAACTGACTGCAAACGCTCCTGCAGGATTTTGTCCAAAATCTTTAACTCTGTATTTAGCAGAGTTATCGGCCTATAATCATCTACCCCCCCCAACACACTTGCCCTTTTTTAACAGCTACCGGAACCAGTTGTTGAACACCACTGTCAAAATCGGGACAAAGATGTGCGACACCCTCAAGTACAATTAATACGGCAAACCATCCAGACCGGGCGACTTACCTCTGCCGACTTTCTTCAATCCCGCGTAGACTTCGCACTCCGTCATCTCTCCCTCTCAGCTAGCCACTTAAGTCGGCGAAAACCGAGGAAAGTGAGTCAAATAGCTGCGAAACTCCTCCTCACGTAGACCAGGCTCCTTGTTAAAGCGGGTCTCGAAATGCCACGAAACGCCTAGCATATGTCAGCCGCCCGAAGAGTATGCCCCTCCGGGGAATTGACCCACGAATGTAACAATCGAAACCTCGACGGATTTCTTCCTTGCGCAGATCTGCGCCCATGTTCACAGCTTCGGAAAACATCTTACTTAACCTATGTCTAATTACCTGGCCCATGCAGGGCTCGCTAGTCAAACGCTCCAGAGCCTCCCTAGCTAAAACCATCTCTAGGGGACCCACCCCAGCTACCGCCAGGGATAAACTAGCCTTAAGCGCCTTCACCTTCTCAGCTCTATCTAGGGCGAGTAGCTTACTGAGATCACAGTGAAGAACCAAATCCTATCCTTAAGTCTCACCCACCACTTATTCCCGATAACCGCCCCCACTAGCTTCCGCTGCACTAAGCTAGTTAGCTGCTCCTGGAAGTTCCGCCTGTCCAGTAAGGACAAATTGAACTTCCAGTAGCCAGCCATTCTAGGCCTACGATCTAACACCATCCGAATAACCTACTCAGTGGAACGTGGGACAATCTAACAAGTCTACTTTGTCTCCTCTAACTAACATTCTATCCAGGTAGCTAACTACCCGGGTAAAAGGCCATTTAAAAGCCAACGTCCATATATTCCCCCCGGGGTGATCGACTCGGTATCTATCAACGAGACCCAAATCGTTGATCAGATCAACCAGGCTAAGATCGCACCTCCTCCCACTAATTCCCCGCCCACTGTCTAACTTGGAGTCCAGGATGGCATTCCAGTCCCCGATTAACACTAAGCGCGTTGAATCCACGAGAAACAGCCCCAACGTGACCCACTCCTCCTGGTCGTTGGTCGCTTGAACCGCAACAACTTGGAACGAACCACATTTCACGGCAATATCGGCCACGATAAACCGGCCCTCGGCAACGGTATGCACAATGTCCACCTTCGTACCAAGAGTACGTCTAACCAGCAAAGAAACTCCTCTGGCCAGTCGTTCCCCATATGCTGAATAAACGACAAAGTCGTTATACAGCACACAAGCATCGACGTTGCAAACAAAGTGGGTCTCTTGGATCCCGGCGACATCCACACCGAAAGACAGGAGATCCCGGAGCAGGCGAGCCGCCTTACCCCGATCCCTGAAGCCCTTCTCATTCAGTCCGGCTAACTTGATTGACATCGTTTAGGCCTGCAAAAAAGAGAGTGAGAGCAAAAAACCTACTCACATACCGGGCGGAAATCTGCGGCGGAAAGGACTCCGACGAATTGTCCTAGGCTCCCTGTGCCCAACTCCGTCGTCTCCCGACCATCTAGGACGATACCGCCAACGTCC